GAAACAGAAAACATGCAAAAAATACCAGGAAAGAAATTCATGAAAAAGGTTGCCCATTTGCTTCTGGGTACAATTCAAGGTGCTGGTTGTTACCTATACAGTAAAGCCCTACAACCCTGGTCAATTAGATCCTGCAGGGTTGGTGCACTCTGAGTTCCTTCAATTAAACAATGTCATTTCTCAGGACCCCAGAAGTATGCCTTCTCTGTAGCAGTGCCTGTCCTCTGAAATGAGGTTCCTCCCCAAGATCCAGATGGGCCCCACTCTGTTGTCATTTAGAAAAGCTGTGAAGACCTGGCTCTTCATCTTGGCCTTGCAAAGGAGACTGAAACCTCTTGCTTCATTCCATCCAGTCTGTTCTGCTTGCCACCTTTTACCTTTTATTGATCTTACTGTAATTTGTTGTGAATCAGGCAACATACAAGCTTAGATAACAGTAAAAGTAATCATCATCATCATCAAAACAAAACAAAAATGAAAAAGGGGAAGACACTATATTTCACATATTAATCAAATGTCAAGCAGATTTCTAAATCTATCTTTGGTGATTTATTAATTAATTAATGATGCTCTAACATTACAAATATAAAATCTATGTCTCAAAAAAGCATATTGAGCATGTTTTTATTAGTGTCCTTAATCTCAACTTTAAACATACTTTTTAGTTTTTAATACAAAAGGATGTGAGTTTAATTTCAAACATCATGTCCATCATTAACACCTCAGGTTTTCATTAACACCTCAGGTTTCTCAGAGACAAATGAATGTATTTATCATTCTAAAAAGAAAAATATTTCATTTTCATTCTAGTTCTTGAAATAGATAAAAAAGGAAACAAACAAAAGGGAAAATAACCTAGTTTCTCCTCAAAAATGTTATTAATCTAATGGGCCAACCATCTAATAACACTATCAGTAAATACTGCACATATGTACACATGTAGATACATAGAGATTTGGGGGGAAATATTCCTATTTTATTGCACATAAAGTGCAATAAAATATTCCTATACACCAAGTACAATCTGAAGGGTGATTAACAGTATTTTAATTGGGCTAGATCATAGCATATTTCTTCATATTTGTTCCATTTCATTTGTAAAATCCAAGTTAAAAATTTCCAAATTATCTTGTAATTCTAGAAATTCTATTCCAATGTTTATATAGCATACACCTTTTCTTCCCTCTCAACTAAATGGATTTTTATTTTACCAACACAATTTTCAGCTGTAAAACATAGAGGTAACTGGTTTGGGAAAATATTAATTTTTAGTAAGATTTTCCTCAACAGGGAGAAAACTGAATTACTGAAGGTACATCGCACTATGGTCCCTGTATGCAGTAATGGAGTCTATCCTTTGGCTGTCTACACAAGGATGGATCATGGTCACAGCTAAAACACTAATTTGAAACACCTTCAAAATATGCATACCCGTAACTGCCAGTGGGGATAACCATCTTTTGTTTTTCCTCAGAATATCATGGGAGAAATATTACTTCATGCACCAAGCTATGATTTGTTGAAGAGAAATTGAGCCCAGTACTGTAGAATAGAGGCAAACAAAATATAGGTCTCAATGTATGCCATAACAGGGTTTAATGGCTTTTTGCTCCTGTCCAGGTCTGCAACAGAATCCCATTTTGTATACCACTTGTAGCACGTGTGTTATAGGAGAGCCTCTGAGGTTTTGTTTCACCAAAACTCACCAGAAGAGCACGAAGCAAAATTACCCCATTTGGCAATACAAAATAATACTTCTACTGAAATCAGGAGAGGACACCAGCTACTGTATCCTTCACTTAAAAAAAAAAAAAAAAAAGCAAGAAGCTAAGAACTAACAAATTGGCCACTAAAAATGAAATAGCATGTTTTAATATGTCCTCTCTTTACAATCTTTGTTTTATTCATGTATGCTTTCGTATATAACTCTTTTACCCAATGAGTACAATAATTTCCATTTCACTGCTTAATCAGTATTCCAGCCAGCAACTAAAAAATGACATGTTATACATGTGGATGAGGTATGAATAAGCAGTTATTCTACAGATATGCACTGGAGTTCATCAAAACTTGAGATATCAAAACAAAGCAGGTTCATTTCATCCAGGGTGAAGCAGATCCTTCAGTCTTTGACCTTTCCAAAGTTCTGACTCTATCTGTCCACTATACCTCTGAGTAACTGTTTTTTCTGTTAAATTCCTTTGCAATGGGACATGTATAGGAAATATCATGTTCCATCTGTGGAAAACCTCTTGTAGCCTTCATAGGAAAGATTTAGCAATTCTTTTTCAGAAATATTTCAGGAAAACTATATAAAGCCAACCACAGTTTAGAATGGCACAATATGCCCTTTAAAGCATCTGTTGTTTCCATGCTAAGAGATCTCAATAAATGGAATTCAGCTTTTGATTTCCTAGTGAGCATTTCCCATATAATCCCCTTTATACACAAGACAAAGCTAAAAGATGGGTTTATCTAGCCTTTTAACACGTGGCATCCTGTTCTGATCTGAAGCATGGATGCCTTTTGGTACCCCTACTTTTTTATTTATACAATAAGGGGATCATTTTCTGCTTGTTCTACACAGAATTTTTCTATTGGATCTCAAAAATATTTTGTTTTACTCTGGGCAGATGCCATGATCCATCTCTCACTGACAAAAGTGGGAGTGAATACAAAGTTATTCAAGTTTGGCCAGAACTACAAAGAAAAGCTTCAACTATGCTAAAATGAAAGTTATCAGTTTTTGGAAACAGCCTCCCAAACTGAAATGATCTGTCCACAGTTCTGCAATAAAACAGAATAAACAGTTTAAATAGTTCAGCATCTGTTTTAGCAGAACAATGGCTTGGCATGCTAAAAAGCAAAGACAGTTAGGCTTATTTTATCATCTCAAAGTATATACAGGGTTGAAATGTAGGGCAGAGTAATAATGGGTCCAGGTTGTGGAAAATATACAGGCCTATTTTTTGTTTGTTTTTGGTTCTTTGTATGATTACTGATGCTTTTATCAGAATTCCAGCTATCTTAGATTGTCCTCCAGCACCATTATGTTACAATGTTATTATTATTATTAGTAGTAGTAGTAGTAGTATTTTGTATTATTACTACTACTAGTAGTAGTAGTATTTTGTATTCTGCTGATTTTTAATACTATTTTTGCCATTGCAATTGCAAGGTAGCCTGTTACATAAATCATACATTAAAAATAAATACTAATTTCAATGAGACCTTGAATTCATAATGCAATTACCACAAATCCATCTCAATGGCAATAGTAGATGCCAATGTTCAGAAGGAATGAAACATCAAAAGACACAGAAATCAGCACTCAGTGACCTATTCCAGAAGTCTGAAATTCACAACCTATTGGCCACATGTGGCCCTTAAACTAAGGATCCTACTCAGCAAAGCCAGAGCATCATACAGATGTGCAGGATGGTTCATGGAAAGCGTTCTAGGAAGAGGAGTGACCTGGTGACAGCAGCCTGCAACTCACCTTAGCCCAGCCTAGCAGGTCTCCTGCTAACAGTGGAGCTTAGCTGCTGAAGCTGCACAGTCAGTACCTCAAGGCCTCCAGCATCAAGCATGAACGTGAATTTGATAGACTGTTCCACT